AATGATCTATTTATTAGATACCAGTTTATCTAGCGGTTCTCATATGTTTTCTTCTATACCAGGGGTCTCCAAACTTTCCAGCCTTAGGGCCATACTGATTACTCCAGTAAGTTCCGAGGGCCAAAACCATATTATCATTGTTGCCGGTGGTAAAAAGTGAAATAGTCCACTGATGAATAAAAAAGTCCGAAAAAGTACGCAACGTTTAAAAAAGGCTGCAAATCGGACTAAAGTCCGCAAAACGGCGGACTGCATATTATTAATTTTCCTGTCATTATCTGTAATTTCTAGATTAGTCGTAGAGTACGAGCCATGAGGAGTAACGTGACACGACATCTGGTGGACACAAGCGGAAATAGGTAGTACCTTCCATCACTAACAGATGGCGCTAATAGCACGTACAGAAGTCAGTTCCTATGACACTGTTGTGGAATAAAATAGTGCATACCTCCTTAAAACGTGTTGTGCGTGTTTAAGTTTAAGACATCTTTGTAACAGTATTTTGATTTGAATTGTTGCTTTTGTGTGTGATTTAGTAGTATGGAAAAGAAGCGAAAAATTGATAGTGAATGCAGAAAATTCAAAGATCAGTGGAACATTCAGTATTTCGTAATTGAGTCCAGTAACAAGGCGCTATGTTTGATTTGCAATGAAAGCATAGCCGTTCTCAAAGAACGTCATTATGAAACAAAACATTTTCGAATGTTACATTTTCGAATGTTTCATAATGACGTTAAACGTCATTATGAAACAAAACATTTTCGAAATTACTCAAATATACAGGGGTTTGCGGACAGAAAAAATTCGAAGCTATGAAACGCGGATTGAAAATCGCAGCAATCTTCATTTACAAAACTCAAAACTGAACAAGAGGCTGCAACTTGTGCCAGCTTTCGTGTGGCTCTTGAAATTGCAAAACTTGGAAAACCATTCACCGATGGAGAAAATGATCAAAGAATGCATAATTGCAGTAGCCGAAGAAATATGCCCTGAAAAGGTAAATTTATTAAAAACTGTCAGTATGTCAGCAAACACTGTGGCTCGAAGGGTAGAAAACATTGCTGAAAATATATCCTCTCAACTGTTCGACAAAAATGGGACATGTTGAGTGGTTTTCTTTGGCCTTGGATGAGGTCCAACGGATGTGTCAGATACTGCTCAGGTGTTGATTTATATTCGAGGAGTAGATAAAAGCTATGAAGTGCATGAAGAACTTCTTGATATGTATAGTATTCATGGCACAACTACTGGTACAGATATTTTTAAAGGAGTTGAAATGGCCATTAATCAAAAGAACCTTCGATGGAAAATCTTGAAATGTATTACAACTGATGGAGGCAAAAACATGAGTGGGAAAGATAAAGGAGTGGTCGCTCTTGTGTCAAAGGCTGTAGAAAATGATGGTGGTTCAAAACCATTAGTCTTACATTGTATCATTCATCAACAGTCCTTGTGCGGAAAATGTTTGGATATGTCTGAAGTTCTGAAACCAGTCATATCAACTGTTAATTAATAGATCTTTGGGCTGAATCACCGACAATTCCGACAATTTATTGAAGAGATTGGAGAAAATACTTACCTTATACTGCCGTACGTTGGCTTAGTTGTGGGAAAGTTCTTCAGCGCTTTTTTTAATTTCGAGCAGTGATCGAAATTTTTTTGAATGAAAAGCATCGCCCTCTTACTGAATTACAAAACAACGCATGGCTGTGGAAGTTAGCATTCTATGTTGATTTGACAAAACATGTGAACGAACTGAATTTGAGATTGCAAGGAGAAAACCAGCATCTTCCTGATTTATACACTAATATCAAATCATTCCAGAGAAATTGATACTGTTTCAATCACACTACGAAGTAAAATGTTTTTCACATTTTAAAACATGTGAAATATTCAGCTACACCACTGAGACTGAGTTTCCTATTGATTTTGCAATCGAAACTTTGAGTGCTTTGAAAATAAATTTTGATACTCGTTTCTCGGACTTTGATGCCATTGCGAATCAAATTAAGATTTTTCAGAATCCTTTTGATACTGACATTGAAACCCTAGCCCCGGAACTTCAAATGGAAATGATTGATCTACAGTGCATTGATATAATTAAGAACAAATATCAAAACTCATCTTTGTTGGAATTTTATAAGAGTCTTCCACTGACACAATTTGATAATTGCATAAATTTGCTCGTGGGCTGTTTTCTGTTTTGGTACTACTTATTTGTGTGAGAAGACCTTCTCCAAAATGAAGTACACAAAAAATGTTTACAGATCTAAATTAACTGATGAGCATCTTAAATCTATTTTAATAATTGGTACAAGTAAAATTAGTCCACAGCTACAAACTATTGTCAGTGGAAAATCTCAGTTACATAAATCTCATTAGTATTTCATATGTCATTATGCTTGTTATAAGTTATGTTTTATTTAAAATGTATAAAATGTTAGTTGGATTCATTTCAATAATTTGTTAGTTATTATGTACTGAAGTTAAATTTTCTGCATATTATACATGTCTTACTCATTACAATTCTGTGTTTCTTTATCCAACTTATCACAAAAACAATAACAATAAGCCTACAACAATGTTATGAGTAGTTAGCCCATGACCATATCAATGTAGATGTCATATTAATAATTATTCAACATTAAAATTAGAATACTTCAGTAAACTAAATTTAATTTGCTATAAAAATATGTTCTCTAAAAGGAGTTTTCAAGTATGCTAGCTCTCCGCGGGCCGGACAAAATCTGTCCGCGGGCCGGATGTGGCCCACGGGCCGTAGTTTGGAGACCCCTGTTCTATACTAACTTGAAAGAGGAAAGGGAGAAAACGTATTCCAGTTTCTTTGTTTTACTGTTATTCTTTCCATAGTTCTTTTCATAGATATTATAGTTTCCAATTGAGGTGAGATTTCAGCCAAGGTAGAACTCAAATTTTTGCTGCAGCACTGGTTATTCCGATTTTTTCTACTTGATCCGCCTTTTCATTTCCTAATATTCCTACATGTGATTTTATAAAAAAATATTTTAAGGCGAATATCAGGGTGACATGCTATAACATCAAAAATCTGTTATATTAACAGTGACTTATGTTTTATATTTTTTAGTGCAATAGATAATATATTCTAGCTACACAGTTTAATAGCTGTGTACATTTTAATAATTTTAGAATTATTTTAGTGCAGTATATAAGGACTATGTTGACTGCAAAGAGTTCAGCTTGAAATACACTGTTTTCATTTTGTAAGCGACCTTTCAGAATTACTTTATTTTGAGATAGTCTTACATGCAAATTCTACCCGCGCTTCCATTATGGAACCGTTTATATAAATTCACGTGTATAATTCTTTGGCCTTTGTACCTGGGATTGTACAATAGATTTTTCTATGTGTGGTTAAATGTCTTTGATAAGCATATGGGGATTCATACTTTGGGTTTCATCTTTTATACCATAATTTTTCTGAGTTTTCAGACAACTCTTTTCGTTTGTTCAAACTATCAAGCGATATCCAAGAGGGGGTAGTCCCGCTAGTGCATAGCTTGCTGAATTGGATGTTATTCTATATCATATTCGGTTCATCATCTTCGAAGAAATCAATTTCTCTCAGCCGTAGCCTGAATGTCTGTATTTTCTTTTTTTAGGGGGACGTTCTAGATTATGTCCGTGTACCTTCCCTATACAATGTCATTTTCCTATTGCTGAGCTGAACAGACTTTTCTGAATGTATGAATTAAGATTCCAGTTGATGCCCTGAATTCTTCGTATATTGTTGGCAATTTTTGAAGTTTTTCATCATATGAATTTAGGATATTTTATTCAACTGAGCTTATTATCAATTATTATTGCAAGGAGCTTAACTTTGTCTACAACTTTCATTTATTGACTTACTATTGCAAATTTAGAGTCTTGAACTCTCTGTGGAGTTTCCTATATGATAATTAAGTTAGATATTTCTGTGTTAGATCTGAATAGGCTGAGGGCTTCATTTGCATGTATTTCTAAATGATCTGTTGTTTTTCCCTTTATGTTGAAATCTGAATCTTGTTAAAGACAATTTCTTTATTGCTAATTGCTGAGGCTAAATTAATATTTTGATAGAAATGAATGTTAAGTTCCATTAATCGGGCAATATGCATGTGCCTTGCGGGTAACCTCTTTTTTGATAATAATCATTGATACGGTTGTCGCAAATAATTGTGCTCTTTCTATCTTATAGGAAGTGTTGTATAAGCAGAAATATATTCTTTGAGAATGTTGATTCGCTAAGTGCATTGCAGGCCACCAGAGCGTGTGGAAAGGATTCTTAAATCTAAGCATATTAAAGCTGAGCTCTGTTCATTTACAATTTTTATAATTAATAACTGCTTGGTGTGGATTACAGAATGAAATTATAATTGGGTCATTTGTATTTGATGGCGTTTTAATTTTTGAGAAGCACAAATAAATTAAATTAAAAATATTTAGAAGACGGTGGAAGGGTATCCACGATCACCTGACTTATATCCACTAGATATATTCCTTTTCTGTAGAGATTTTGAAAACAGAGCATATGAAATGGAATAAAAATGTCGTACAGACCTGGTAATTGTATACCAGCACTGAGTGCATGTATAAAGCCAGTTATGTTAGCTGAGTTCATGGGCACTGTATTTAACGAATACAATAATACGTAGGAGCTGAGAGCAGATATTTCGAACAAATATTTTACTTACTTAAATTACTCAGTTAATGAACCTGCGTTTCTGTGTAACATTTCTCATTTTATGGATTTCATTTGAATTAAAAGGATGCCTATTTTCTTAATTTTGTTACGGTTTTTGTGTTTAGTTTGCTATTTTTAGTAGAATTGTAATTAAATTGTTTCCTCGTGCAATGCGGCGCGTCACGAGTTTTAGGAGAAAGCTATGCCGAAAAGTAAAAATACAGGGTACGCGCATTTAATAAATGTATATCTCGTAATTGCTTTTGCTTTCCAAAAATCTTGAGAATAGAAATTACCAGAAGCTCCTTGTGACTGTTAATGAGTCACAAGGAGCTTCTGGTAATTTTGGTAAAAGCTTATAAATGCCGGAGAAAATATCTCAGTTCGATTATTTTAGTAAGTTGTTTACTTAGTTGTTGTAATTTTGAGATCGGATTAGCTTTCTCTGCGCTTTGAATTGTGTTCTATTTAACTTTTTAGTAGGTTAAAATATAACTACTGTGTGGTATTATGATATTGTATGAATATCTGAGCGGAAAAATTTCAGCATTTTGTTTTATTACTTGTGATAAGAATAAACTTTATTAACTTTTCATCAGACTTGTGCATTCAGTCTATTACGAACCCGTACGCAGCAGCACTATTAACAAAATCTATGTTTTTCATTTTCATGAATTATTCATTTTATGTTTTTATTATTGCGCACTACTAAACTTAGGGCATTATAAAACAGTTTTTCTGATGTTCTTAACATCAAGTCTTAAGAGCTCTGAAACTAACATTTTGGTGATTGATTTTGAAAAGAATGCCATTCTATCTTTATTTTTTCTTTCTGTTCAAAACAGTACGCAGATTAAGTCTTCACTTTAAATAATTTTTTTCGCCATTTGCATTTTGTACCATTTGCTTTCTGCGCAAAAAGTTAAGATTTCTTCAAATTTTTTAGTGATAGAAACTTATCATAACAGTCTGCATATCAGTGCTTGTCTTTCAGTTCATTGACATCAAAAATTTTTTCCTAAGTTGGTATCACAATTTTAGTTACCCATACATTTAAATATTGCTCTCTGCAATTTGTATACGATCCCTGACTTTTCAAGAAGAGCTGTCTGAAATTTTAAAAATTAAATACCTCAATTAAATACCCGATCACGATACCGAACTGCAAAAATTAAATACCCGACGGTTTTTTAATACATGAGTGATATTTTAATTTTATGTTATTAGTATAAGATTTTTCTAAATACAGGTGAAGAAACCGGGGGAATGTATAAGAAGTTAGATTTTGTAATTTTTATAAAACTGATTTTTTTTTTATTTAAATTTCAAAATGGTAATATATAAATATATAAGTTATTTAAAACATTTTGCTAACTACAAGTATATCTTTACAGCATCAGTTAGAGTTTCTTAATCTTACAAAGAAATAAAAATAACATTTTAATAGTGAACTGCAATTTGTTTTAAATATTTGAAGCTTTTACTCAAGCAGTAAATGTTCATTTTAGATCCTGTAACTATTGAAATATTAAACTCACTAATAGACGACAAGTTAACGGATACTTTTGGCATGTAAAAGAAAATTCAAAATATTGCAGAAATATTAACCTCTGTTCATGTTTTATTACAGGTGAGTTAAAATACTTCAGTCCAATAATAATTATACGTATATTAAAATATTTCGCCTGCAAGTACCATTTTGTTTTTTTATGACAAAATAAATTTTGCAAAATCATTTTGTAATAAAACAGATATTTAACTGTCTGAAATGTACGTTATTAAACTACACATAACCTTAGATATATAGTTAAATATAGAAACATAGATTAATCCACTAGAATGGAATTGTAGACTTACAGCATGAAAATCGATAATATTTGGGAAAGAACTGTATTTCCAAGTTATGATTTAAGCGGCTATATTACTCAATTAAACCAGTACATAATTTGCTGTTGCTGTTCTCTCTAGTTCATGGAAGAAAGTTTACCAGAGCCTCAAGGAGGTTGAACTTGTACTTTCACCCCAACTTTGAGAGCGATCAGCCCGAGAGATGGCCCGCATGTCTCCCACCCCTCTCCCCTACCACTAATTTGCACGAGAGGACTTTCGGCTCGCCGTATTTTTAGAGTGTCTGCATGCGGCAAAGATACTAGACATTTACAAACATCCATGCCTTCCCCGGGATTCGAACCCGGGTCCTTCGGTACCGCCGTAGGTTCTCCAAACCACTGTACGGTCTGCGCAGTCAGTTTTTAATTTACGATATTAAAATAATTGCCCATGTTTTTGCAATTTTAGTGCAAATATTGACCAAGCCATAAAAGTATTATACTCGAACGATAATCTTGGGGGCTCTAACTAAGTTCAAAATAATTTTTGAGTTTGTATTTAAAGGGCAGCCGTTAAAATTAGCAAATAAGATTGCAAATAGATGAAACTGAGGGAATAAAACGCAGAGTTTAAACTTTATTTAAAGTTAGATATCTTTTTAGGGTTGAAAATATTTCTGAAAATTTTCATGCTGGACTACGTATGTGTGGACTACTAATGTATTTAGTTTTCATACATTGAGTATAACTGCATGTTTGACTAAATTAATCAGACTGGCTCAGAATTTTTTATAAAATATCTAATCACATCATGGAAAAAGTACACGGTTTTTTTTATATGATTGCTAAATTAATTAAGATACCTTCCGTGTTTTCTTTAACTGCTTCAAAAAATGTAGGCACGTTTATAAGAAAATCATAGTTGTTCTTATACAAATTTAATGAATTTAGATTTTAAAGATTTTAGTAAAGTTTTAGATTTAGATTAATGTTTATGTTAGTTAAAACTTCAATGTTTTAATGAGTTAGTGTATATGGATATAATCCCTTATATTCATGGAAGCAAGAACGGTTTTATGTTTCGTGAAATGACGAGTATTTGTCTTAAGACAAATAAATATTGTAGCGTTCTAAGGATTCATAGATTTAGAGTACGTGATAACACTTGATGCAGAACCGAAACCTAATTTATTTTTCAGTAAACACTATTACATAGGACAGTTCCAAAGCTACGTTTACGCTTGTCAAAGTACTATTGCAAACACGTTGAAACAATCAGTAATACAGCTTCCAGGCTAAAACAATGAAGACAGTGTCACGGCAAAGCACTAAAGTACGTTCTTGACTCGGTCAAACGCTCTCAAGCTAATCTCTGAATTCAAGACACTGATTTCTCCCGTACAGGCAAGGTATATATAGCTTTAATTTACCTACCGCAGCTGGGCATTTCGAAACAATATTTTACAAGGATTTTTTACTTTTGTTTATTTCTTCTTAATGAGATAAAAACATGAATAAAGGGTTGCTGCTTTCGAGATTTGATTACCAGATTAGCTCTCAAACAAACACTGTAAATCCAAATTTACCATTCATTTAAAATATATAATAAAGGATTAAAAAACCTTAATGATATAGTATATAGATTTGCGAACTGCAAAAGAATTACTCAAACTACTTGAGAAGGTTTCTCGCAGAAAAACCTGAATTCGCTGCACAAGAAGTAATGGTACACTCTTCTGCTTACAGATCAGCATTTTCTGAAACAAAGCACCATTAGATCTGATGAAAAAACTCGGTTTTATTTCTTCATCGAAAACACATTAAATCACGTAATTAAGGCCTAATCAAGCATTTTTCTAACAGTAGAATGGCGTAATAGCGTGCAAAACATTTCCAATAGAAGAGGATTAGTATAAAAAAAAGTGATGTATTTCCATTTTTTTTATTTGAAGGTGATATCCTCTTCTTAAGAAAACTACTTTTTTTCCTCTTGCCATTTGATTGAATATATATATTTATGTAGAAAAGAAAAGCAAGTACTGGTTTTAACTACAAAAAAATATTTTTTTCTTTTTATATGCGGTTTTTAATAAGTGAAACAATCTAGTCGGAAGTTAAGAATAAAAAAGCCATCCGTAATTAAACTGTTTAAGAAAAAGAATTATCGTCTTTAAAAAAAAAGGCAGATGCATCTCTCTTTTTGATTACGAGAAATAACAATTTCCTTTCATTTACTGAGAAAAAATATTTTATTCAAAAAAGAGTTTGAGACATGCAGCACAAGGTATATAGAATTCTTTGTTTCCTAGAAGGAAATTTGATTAACTTTCATTAAACCGTGAATAATGAATAAAACAATCGCCATTGCAAACCATCACTTTATAAGATTAGAGAAAGAACAAATAAAGTCTTTTATTATTTTCGGTTAATATAAAATATACTTCCAGTCTCTGATAGAATGAAAATCAGAAACTGAGAGAAAAATGAAATACTGAGTGCTTAAAAGGAATGCCGCCAGATATACTAATAAAAAGGATCATTAAAGGAGATTTATTCTCAGAACTGTATCTACTAGCAATGCAAAGAATTTGAAGAATTCAATTTAACTAAGGATTGTTCTGCATTGCAATATTTATTATCATATTAAATTGGATCTGAAAATGTGAGGATTTGTATTTCTCTAAAAAGTCAAATATTTTTACTTTAGTTGAGAATTTATATAAACCATAAGAATTTGATTTTTGATAGCTTTAATTTTTCATACTCTAGACTACATAACGCGATCCTATTATTTCTCAAAAGACATTTTAAGTTTATATGCCTTCATTATTTTCAAATGGTGCGTATTCAGAGGTACTTTTTAATATATAAAGTTTTGTGAGGTATTAAGTGTGCTTTTAAGTATCCTGTCTTTGATTTCGGGTCAAATTGATCTGATCAGTCAGATTTCATGTTGGAATATAAATGCTTTTATTACTGCTACATAAAAAAATAATTTAGTGCTTTGTAACAAATTTTGATTGCAATAAAAAAATTAAAACCTCTATATAATTTTTTACAGAAATAAAATTAAATGTATATTTGTATTGGAAACTCAATACAGAAACAGTGACGTATATTAAACTTGAGTAAACACTACGAATTAATTTCTATGATAGAATAGTATTATCTAATATTATCGAGTTTTAATATCTCCCATGACTATCGTATTGAAGAATCCACAAGTGAAACACATGTGAAATAAATTTAATATTGTAACTTTATTTTAAAATGATGAGTGTTTTAAAATGATATTTAAAAATGATGATTTAAAACGTTTTAACCCAACACAAACAGACCCAACACAAAGTTTAAAACAGACTTTTAATCTTATAAAACAGACATTTTGATTTAACACATTTTGTGCATAACGCGAGTATCACTTCCAAAAACAACATTACATATTCGTTTACTGCGTAGTTTAATGCAATGATATTAAAAAGCAAAACGTGCCGAGGCGAGTATATTACATGAATTATCTAAACGAGTTGCAGAGAGGCAAATTAAAGCATTTTAATGTAAGTGTGCAAGGTATATTCAGTATTTAAACGCAAACTAAATACTGAATCTGCGATCTGTCCAGCTTGATGGAGTCACCAGAGAGTAAAAGATATCATCTGAAATCTTATATTTATTTTTAATATTAATGGAGGAAACATAAGTAAGACAGTATCTTACGTTTTGTGCTTGGATAAAAATTCTAGATAGTTAGACAATTAGGGAATATTGTAAAAGAACTGGAATTAAAGTGTACTCTATGATCACCTTTCATTCAAGTGTTGAAAGACATCATGATGAAGAAAACATAAGCTGAAACGTAAAGGATGCAAACTCAAATTCGGTGCAGATGTTTACCATAAAATATACAAGAAGTATTTTGTGAAAAATGTGATCAATCCCTACAGTATGCAACGTCTTTGATTATGTACCTATACATTTTTAAAGCATTTCAAAATTCGCGTTTATTAAACCTGTTTCACGGAACTTTTAGCGCGATATTTCGCAAAGGAATAACTTTCATATAATGTAAATAATAGAAATAAGTGAGCATCAGAATTTAACTAAGGAAAATTGCTTAAATACAAATATTAATACTACAGACCAAAATTGAGTTTCTGCAAGAAAATGATTTAAAGAAAATGAAGGAAAATTCTACAGAGAGTGTTTTCACATTTTGGAACGATTTCGGTAAATAATTTTAAAACATAAATATTTTGGATTAAAAGTTTCTGCCAACCACCATTAAATGAGAAATACTATCTGCTACTTTTAAATTTTTTCTTTAAAAATCTCGCATGTAAACAAGGTATGACTGAAGAACATGTTTTTTGTGCTTTCGAAAGAGAAACATTCTTATTCCATACTTCAAAAGATTGTGAAATGCATGGTATTAAATTTTCCAAGTGGAAAATCAGCAAAATTGTTAATCGGAAAGTCATAAACTGTCAGTCATCACTTCCGCTTGGGAAGAAGATTCCAATCGAATACCCGAAAATGTCACGTACTGTTCCTAAAGTTAAATCGTTGGTAACAAGAGAAAATACGTCGAAACAGAAATCAATTGCAAAGTCTTTAAATACATCTGTAGCAATAATGAATATAATAATAAACCAAAATTTACAATGTAAAATATCTAGAAAACACGATGTTTACCAGCTTCTGCCGAGGCATGTAGTTCAAAGCAAAATAATCTGTAGAATCCTGTATGAAAAATATTTAGCAGCTGAAAAATGGAAATAAATTGTGGCTCTTGATAAAGCAT